GAGTAGGATTTGAGGTTGTATCTACAGAAATATTGAATAGAAGTCTAAAGAGGATATAATTTCATTATATAAGTCACTGGTTAGGTCACATTTAAAGTACTGAGTTCAGTCTTAGGCTACTTACCTTAGAAAAGACATTGAATTATTTGAAAGGGTTCAGAGAACGGTTACTAGAATGGTACCTGGGATGGAGGGGGTTGTCATACAAGGAAAGGTTGAAATCTCTCAAATTGTTTTCTCTTGAAAAATGAAGAGTTGAGGTGTTTAAGATTTCTAAGAAATCGATAGTGCTGATACATAATCTTTTCTCATATTTAATGGTGAAAAGTGATAAGACTGGAGGACACAAGTATATATTTTAGCACTGTAGGAGTAATTTTTAACAAAGACAGCTTCATTTTTTTAACAGAGTGGTTAGTCTTTGTAACTGGTTGCCATCTGATGTGGTAGATACAGTTAATTTATGGGAGTTTAAGGGAAAGCTTGATAAATATTTGAATGATAATGGCTGGAATCGAGTTTAGAGTTTATTTTAGTGGATAGGATGGCCTAGATAGACCCAAAGGTTCCTTGTCCTTTAACTTTATGTTTGTAAAAATGTCATAACACATTTTAGATCTGCATGAGAATTTTGAAGAATTTGGTGTAAATAGGTAACTACTTGTATATTCACAGAAGCACTCATGTACAAAGAAAGTAAGTATTATAAAATATGGAAAAAATAAAACTGGAATTTTTCTTAATATTATTGATAAGAAAATTCTATTTTACATATCCATCTAGGTCTAAATTTTTGTTTTCATTAATTATTTATATTTGTTATGTGTACCTATTGAAGCAGTTCTGTAGCCACAAAAATAGCATGAAACTCATGAACAGCAAAAATGTTGACCTGTAGAAACGCAACTTGCACTCATTTCCTAAGCCTACACTGATATGGGCAATATTTTGGAAACATTTAATTTTGGTCAACCTAAATTTCTTTCTAATAATTATAATTTCTTTTACTTGTATTTGTTGCTTGAGTAATACAAAACTTACTAATACACAGAAATAAAGATGATTTTCTGTCATCCGAGTAGTTTACTAACTCGGAACTCCTAGCTTGCTGCACTCACTAACCCTAAATATCCTTTTATCTTCTCATACAAGTATATTTCTGTAGCTTTAAAACAAACATAACACAAATACATTATCATAAAGAAAATATTATAAACTTTATATTAGAATCCAGTATGAGAACATGTTACTCACTTCTCAGAAACTATACATTAGTGGAAACCCAGATGTTGTTATATTGACATGGGAATATTTTCTATCCAATCATGTTTAGCCATTGGTTCTATCTTGTTTGGATACCAAGCGTCATTACTTACTAACACAATATCGTATGAGAAATAAAACTTAGGAAAAGTATTTCCAACTTTCCATGGGACATCGGGGGCTGTGTAAATATAAACCTATACTTAGGGACATCGGAGGCTGTGTAAATATAAACCTATACTTAGGGACATCGGGGTCTGTGTAAATATAAACCTATCTTAGGGACATCGGGGTCTGTGTAAATATAAACCTATACTTAGGGACATTGGGGTCTGTGTAAATATAAACCTATACTTAGGGACATCAGGGTCTGTGTAAATATAAACCTATACTTAGGGACATCAGGGGCTGTGTAAATATAAGCCTATACTTAGGGACATCGAGGTCTGTGTAAATATAAACCTATACTTACGGACATCGGGGGCTGTGTAAATATAAACCTATACTTAGGGACATCGGGGGCTGTGTAAATATAAACCTATACTTACGGACATCGGGGTCTGTGTAAATATAAACCTATACTTAGGGACATTGGGGTCTGTGTAAATATAAACCTATACTTTGATATGGGAAAACATTCTAATAAATGTAAAATGGCTTTGCTTATATGTGATAACCATTTGAACTGCACAGAGATTAAAGTTCAAATATTACCAAAATAAGTTTTGCAAATTTAGAAAATATCAATCTTTAGATACTTTGGATAAAAAAATTGTATAAATAGTTATTACTATTTTTGCTTAAATTATAAAATTTGTTATGGTCATCTTTCCATGTATGTTCTGCACTATGATAATATCCTTAGGTCTTACTCACACCACCACTATGTTGTTTCACCACTAACCACTACAGTTGTGTCCCAACTGGCCTGAAGAGCTCTGGACAATATAATACAGATATGGCAATTATAGTTTGATTTGAATTCTATTATTATACAATCTTCTAATTCTTGAAAATTCTGAAGGAATTAGATAAAGAATGTAGAGTTTGAAAATATAATAGAACTAATATTAATGTCTTATGAATATAATAGAACTAATATTAATGTCTTATGAATATAATAGAACTAATATTAATGTCTTTTGAATATAATAGAACTAATATTAATGTCTTATGAATATAATAGAACTAATATTAATGTCTTTTGAATATAATAGAACTAACATTAATGTCTTTTGAATATAATAGAACTAATATTAATGTCTTATGAATATAATAGAACTAATATTAATGTCTTATGAATATAATAGAACTAATATTTATGTCTTATGAATATAATAGAACTAATATTAATGTCTT